ACGATCATTCTCGTGCGATCTCGAGTCGATCAATCGGGATTCAATTATGTTATGACAGGCTCGGCGCGGACATATGAAATAATTACACCGCATCGCTATCTCGTGAACGGAGAACCGGCGCGCGGTCTTTCTTCCAGTCAACGAAAAACTTGTTTGCCGTTAGAACGAGCACGAACGAACGAGGCGGTCGCATCGTCTCGGACTCTCGCGCTCGCCTCGCCAAACGATCGTACCGCGTTTCTTTTTCCCTCTTCCGCTCGCGGATGTGATATCCACTTTTTGCGCCGTAACGACCGATTACTTCTCGCTCGTCTTCCTCCTTTTCTCTTTCCCTCGCCTTCTCCTCCACCGTCACTTTTAATGGGCGTTCACGCGCGTAATCGGCAGATCCGCATGCCCGCGCGTTCCCGATGACGATGCCCGGTCTCTTATTTGCGCAGGATGCGTCGTCGCGCGTGCGATTGTGTACGCAAGTCGTTCCCCGTGCACAAGTTTCGTCGACGTTCGTTGTCCGACGTGCACGCATCGCATCGCATCGCACCGCATCGCATCGCATCGCATCGGCGCATCCAGTGTTTATTCAACTGCAGCTGCGTCAGCGAACCCAGCGTCTGACTTCAAGTTGCAATCGCGTTGCACCCGGCGTGTTACTTCCATTAACGGCAGAAGTAGATTTGACATGAGGCGCATCCGCTTATGGTTCACGACAGCCCGGAGCGTGAGGTTGAAGTTGCAAATAATTTTCAAATAACACAAAGAGAGTCGAATCGCGAACCGCGCGATATATAAAAATATCAAGGAAAGAGGAATAAGTGGGATAAAATGCCTCTGTATAGCGAGAGATAATTTTTGAACGATTAAAGAGATGAATTATACATGAAATGATGTAGGTATCAAAGAGATTTTTTTTTTTAAAGAAGCGAAATGTCACGCGGTAAAATATATATCGCAAACCTACACAATACAGTAGAACAGAGTGTAAAAAGCTTCGAGAATCACGCGTTCTTGTTTTCGATGTATGTACCGATCGACGGGAGGGGAGAGAGAGAGAGAGAGAGAGAGAGAGAGAGAGAGAGAAAGAGAGAGAGAGAGAAAGACGATTTATATCCGATGTGTCCGTTCCTCCGTGGAAGCGCGCAGGATACCTTAAGAGGCTCCCGCTTACGTCACCCGATCTTTGGGCCTCGTACCGGGGCTCTCGAAAGACCTATTACCTTATTTACGATTCGCACGGCCATTATCTCCTGGCAACAAAGTGAACCAGCCGGTTTTTCGATACTATCCGCGTGTGTATACCCGCCGGTGTGAAAGAAAAAGGGGAACCCTTTTCGCGGACGAGAAACGAGCACAAAAGACACGCACAACAGAGCCGTGGAGCGCAGTTTTGCGGTCGTGGCCGCGCTGCCGAGAACGGAGGAGGACTTTTGTCTTCGTTTCTTAATAACACGCGCGTCCACACGGAGACACCACGTGGGGTGACCCTGGCGGAGCTAAAAGTGCTCACGCCACTCCGCGATATTATCAGAGAATGGATACGTTAGGAACAAAGATGTCGGGAGAAAGATTATTTCTGTGAGACTTCACCATTAATTTTATTTGCGACGCTTAACCAACGCTAAATTCGAAAAGGATATTCCGATTATACGTTATAAATAAATTAAATCGAATTAATCGAAGATTTTTCGTAACGTTTGGTGCTATTTCGACGAGGAGCCATTCGCGCTCTAACGACGTCGGAGTAAAAGTAGCAATTTCGGTAACGCAAATAAGTACCATCGGAGAATAATGACCCGGTCGACGGGCAGGTCTCTAATTTTGGAGTACACGATTTAAATTTCCGTTCAAGTATTTATAAATCAGTATTTACGTCAAACGTGTGCTACCGTATGACGATAATCGATCTCCTCTGCTATTTTAAACTTTCTTTTTCGATTATTATATATTTGTTATTTTATTTTCGAGTTTTCTGAGTGTAGCAAGCGCGAAAGAAAGCAGAAAGATCATTCATCTCATTTCTCGTTTTGAAAAAAAAGCACGTTTCTCTCTCTCTCTCTCTCTCTCTCTCTCTCTCTCTCTCTCTCTCTCTCTACT